TAAATTAGGGAGCATATTTTCTCCCTGCCTAAATCCTTGGGGCATGGATTGATGATTCAGTTAAGGCATATATGCCATATTTTGCATAATGTTTCTTCACTGAGTATCCCATATGGAGATGGCTAGTACAGATATTGATTCTTGAGTATTGCTAATATTTCAATAACCACACAACCTAAAATAGTACCTGGAATAAATTTTTTCCATGTGTCTTTGCATAATAGATATAGTGTACTTTGTCATCTTTATAGGACATTTTAACTTACAATGTTGGAATAACACTTCAATTATTTGGAATAGAACTAATACCATCTGTCGTACTGCATTTTAAACTTATCTTGCCACTTAATCATCTTAAGTCATTTGGATCAGCAAAATTTTGAACCCCACCGATCTTTTTCCGTAGACAGTCTCAAGCCCGGATAAAGGAGGGGAATTGTCCTAACTTGTTAACTAGCATAAGACTTTACCAAACCTTTTAAGATTTAATTCCTAACTTGTAGAGGTAACAAATGATAGTTGTTAAGGACATAGTTGCTTTAGATTTTCCATTAGATCAAACAACGAACAAGAAAAGTGTCCATTAAGTCAGCATCAAATTGATCAGGAACAATACTTGGATTTTATTGTCGGGAAAATTCTGGTTGGTTTCAGTCTTGTACTCTTTTAGTTCAAAATTTCTTCCATGCTATTCTGACTCTTGCCATGTAACGCAATGTCATAATCTTGATAAGGATTCGGAAACTTATCTTACCATGTTATCTTGTTGATTTTAAGCTTTTCATGCAAGATAGCCAGTATCTTGATCTTTGATTCAGGTATTGGAAAGTGGAAACTTATGATATCTTGTAATATATAATATTGTTTCACTGAAATTCTGGTTGATTTTTTACTGTTTTAGTTGAAGATTTCGCCCATTTTATTCAGATTCTTGAAATTCATGCAGCATCATAATCTACTAAAGAGTAGGTGATAAATGAAAATGGTGGGATATTTATATTGAGGGGCTTGTTTGACAGAGTAATGTTATTTGCAGTCATTTACTGTTATAATCATCATAGGTGGTATATATGTGGTGGTTAGTAATTTGATACATTAATGTGGCAATTTTTTATTGTCTTGTGCATCAAATCACTAATCGCCACATATATGTCACGTAGAAGATTACAGTAGTGATCGAGTGTAAATAGCATTATTCATTTGGCAGTGCTTCTGTTTTTGTTTCTACTTCTTATAAAAAATTTATTGAGAAAATTATCTTAAACCAGTTTTCTTTAAAAACTTTTTATAAAACGTCTCTTAAAAATTATACAAACATATTCAAAAGCAATTTTTTAATCTCAAAATCAGTTTTTGACTTTAAAAAAAGTCCTGCCAAACGTGAGGGATTCTGATAATTAAATAGTTGATGCATCATTTGAGTTTAATATTGCTAATACTAGAGGATAACTGTTAAATCATAGTTGTACTTAAGATCTATACTACCATGCCACTCTTACTTTAATATAATATATCTCGAATACACAATATCGTGCATGATTGGATGTATGTTAATTTTTTTATACTATCCAACACGATATAGTCCAGCCACCAGATGAAGGCAAAATAATGGGGTTTAACTAATTGTTCTATTAATCTAATTCAAGAATGAAGGTTGTTTTTTCACTTGTGTCATCATAGTTTTTTGTAAGATTTTACCATTAAAACTAGAGTTAAGACTTTTGATGTTTAAGGTTATTTATTGATAAAATTACAGAACTTAGATCTTTATAATTTAGTCACCGTTTGACAATCATTTTATTCAATTTTTTCATGCTCATTTTCAATCACACATTTTCACAATAAAATATTCTTCACATAAACTTAATTTTTTCTTACTTTTTAACTACACATTCTTTAAAAATTTACTATTCAAAAACTCATTCTACACAAAAAAATAGCCGTTAAACAGGGATTTAATCTTCATACCAATGTTTGAATCAACCGGTTTATTAATCAAATACTCGATATTTTAAAAATCAACGAGAACTTGATTTCAATTAGTGCTCAATATTTAGTTAAATCAATAACAGTTGATCTCCATATTGTTGAGCATTAGCCTTCGAACTTGTCTTGTATTTTTTTCTCTCTTCTCCTTGCATCACCACGTCATTGATCCACATTGCAAACAAAGTTTAAAATATAGGCGATCAACATAATCAGGGGTGGACCCAGACATTTTGAACTGTGAGGTCAAAAATGATTTTTTTTAAACCAACGTATCATTAACGAAAATAAAACAATATGATACTACAATAGGATTTGGGTTTGGGCTTTTTGGGCATTGGACTGGGGAAATTAATTGGGTTGACTCGTTACTTTGACAGAAAATTACGTTTTAAACAAGGAAAAAAATCCAAAAAACTGTGAGGTCATTTGACCCCACATGAACCCATGTGGTTCCGCCAGTGAACATAATCTGGTCTTCCTGGTTCAGCTTACTTTCCCTCTATTATGTTTTCAATCTTCAACAAATCATCCTGATGCATTGATTACAAGCGTATACGCATGGTGTTTGGTATGTAAAGTGCAATATTAATTATACTGTGGTATTTCGTTATTTCAGAACAGTTTTTTCACCATCATTGAAATCTTTTCCATTAAGATTATCCTCTTTATCCATTACAACAAATTTACGTACCTCTTTATCACTTTCTTTCAAATAATTGCGTGTAAATCATAGGAGAGACAGATAATAAACGATCATGCTTATCCTTAGATTAAGTACAAATGCACTATGAAAAGTTGTAATTTAGTCAATCAAAAATCTAACTAATTGTTCCTTAAACGTAATTGCCATGCTGAAACAATGACTTCTGATAAAAAAAAAATCCAAAAACATTAAGCCGTTGTACTTTCTTACCTTAATTTATAGTAAATACGCAATCAGCAAAAGTGTGACATTCAAAGATGAATTATAATGTTGTAGACTAAGTCGACATCTAATCCAAATCTCTGTAGCACTTTCGCAAAAGATTTTAAGCATAATAAAAACAAAAGCAACATGGGTAGACTTTTAGATTTGATTTAATGCTCGCATGCATGATAAACAAAACCAAATGACATTGTTATTGAAAAAGACTTTCATAAATGGGCCGCTTGGGTACGATGACAAAAAGAAAAGGACATTGCAAAATGACTACGTTGTATTAACAATGTTGTGAAATATCACATCATACAATGGTTATTTTCAAGGCTCTCAGGAATTTTTTTTTGCTATATTGAAAAGTTTTATGAAAAACTATACCATATTATTAAATTTGTTACGAAATTGTCAAAATCAATGTTCTAGATAGTGCGCATAGAAGTAGGCAAAACGCTCTGCCTTGGTCGTAAACCCCAATTAAGCAATTAACTACTAAGTTGACCGCATAATGCATGCCTAGGCATACGGCGGGCTTTATTAAATTTTTTTTCTTTTTAAAATTTTTATCTGACTTTTTTCATTAAATTTTTTTTATTCCCTTTTTTATTAAAAGGCTTTTATTGACTTTAGTTTGTCTGTACAAAAATTAAAAATGATTTTATACGATAAAATTTATATAAGATTTAAACTACAATGCTATCTATATCATATAATTATAATTTTGAGGCTTATCGTTGTGTTGGAAATTGGAAAATATGTATAAAGCCTCCATAAAAATTTTTAAGTAAGACTTGTCTAGTTGAAAGTTAAAATTATGAAAAATAGTCTAGTTTTTGCATTTCATAAACTTGAAAATTGTATAATTGATTAATTGTAAGAATTATTAAGTAAATATCATATTTTATAATTTTAAATGTTTGATATGTATTATTCTAAATATTAAATTATTTTTAGAATGATTAAAGTAATAATAGAAATAAGTAACGCTTTTTACGTCTAAGACTCACTTAAGTATGTAAATCTTGAAGTTTGACCTTCACGCTAGTCACATTTTATGCTTTTCAAAAAATTTGTAAAATGCATCGATCAACTTTCTTTAAATGATAATGGTTTGCCTAAAGATTTAGGGCCAATAGAAGAAAAAACACCCTTGCATATCCTCACCTTGTCAACTTCCTAGCTAAGAAACATTTCACCGTGGAATGATAGCTCAATAAACCAAATTTAATTTGAGGAATAAGTTCCCTTGCTCGACATTATTAGCTTGTCCATAACATGGCGATACATTCCTCATGGAAATGCTCAAGCTAAAGGTAGGTGTTCATAAACTATAGAAGCCGAAACATCGAGTCCTCCTCACCCTCTATATATAGGCCTTGCCTATATAGACAAGAGTTAAGAGTATTCACTCGAATAAAGCAATGGAAGGGTTAGATAAAATAATTTAAAGTGTAAAATATATCCCTTATTGACGCTTTAAATCTGTCAAAGAAGAAAATGGATAATTCTGCTGTATGTTTCATTCATTCTTGAAGTCAATAAATAGGTACAATGAGGTTGCTATACAAAGAAAATTGGTTAAGATCTATGCTAACATTTTGCAATTTTTCTATAAAGGTTTACAAGAAAAATTGACAAACATTCATGCTGATTTTGTGCAAGACTATGATCCATGCTGATTTTGTGCACGTTGCAATCCCTGTTGATTTGCGATTGGATGGAAATGTCCATACTCCCCCTCAAGTTGGCGCATGAAGATCTATGATGCCCAACTTGCGATAGAAGCGATGAAACAAATCATGTCCCAATGCCTTGGTAAAGATATCTGCAATCTGATCAGCTGCGGAGACATGAGATAGAGTGAGGAAACCAAAGCGAAGCTTGTCACGAACAATGTGGCAATCAATCTCTATGTGTTTGGTCCGCTCGTGAAATACTGGATTCCGAGCAATATGTAGTGCTGATTGATTATCACAGAAAAGATTAATAGCAAACGAGTGGGATATACCGAGATCAGCAAGTAAGGTTTTGAGCCAGATAAGGTCACATGTGGTTACGGCCATTGCTCGGTATTCGGCCTTAGCTGAGGAGTTAGCTACTGTTGTCTGTTTCTTGGTGCGCCAAGAAATGGGATTGGTCCCGAGTTGGATGAAGTAGCCGTAGTAGAACGACGAGTGGTTGAGCAGCTGGCCCAGTCTGAATCTGTGTAGGCAATGAGCTGAAGACCACTGGAGGCTGCAAAGAAAATGCCATGACCTGAAGTGCACTTGAAATAGCGAAGAACCTGATGAGCAGCAGTCAAATGAGGAGCTCGAGGTGTATGCATGAACTGACTGAGTATGTTGACTGCGAAGGCAATGTCAGGTCGGGTGATGGTGAGGTAAATGAGACGGCCAACAAGTTGACGATAGGGGCTCGGGTCTGACAGAAGATTACCATCACTGGCGGTGAGCTTCAGATTCTGTTCCATGGGAAAGGAGGCGGGGCGAGCACCTAGCTGGCCACTATTAGATAGAATATCAAGAGTATACTTCCGTTGGTTAATGAAGATCCCAGTAAAAGAACGAGCCACTTCAAGACTAAGAAAATATTTTAGAGGGCCTAGATCCTTAGTTTTGAAGTGTCTGGAGAGAACAGATTTGTAATGATCAATCTGTAACAGTGCCTGCAATCAAAATGTCATCAACATAGACTAGAATCACAATAATGCAAGTAGGAGTAACTAATGTCAAAAGAGAATGGTCCGCCGAAGATTGTGTGAATCCTATATCAATTAACGCAGTTGTTAGTTTGAAGAACGAATTCCGGGAGTCTTGTTTGAGTCCGTAGAGAGCTTTTCGGAGGCGATAGACTCAGCTCTCCCCCTTAGTACAATATCCAGGTGGAGGAGTCATGTAAACTTTCTCATCAAGGTCACCATGAAGAAAAGCATTGTGAATGTCCATTTGATGAATTATCCATTGTCGAGAGGCAGCAACGGAAAGGAGACAGTAGACAATGGTCATCTTGGCAACAGGGGCAAATGTCTCATGGTAGTCCAGTCCTTCAATTTAGGTATAGCCCTTGGCCACTAATTGGGGCTTGTAGCGCTCAATTGAACCATCCGCTTTAAGTTTGGTCTTGAACGCCCATTTATAACCAATGGGTTTCTTGCCAGAAGGAAGTGGCTTGAGTGTCCAAGTGCAATTTTCTTCGAGCGCTCGAAGTTCAGAATTCATAGCCTCACTCCAGTGAGAATGTTTCTTGGCATCAGTGTAGCAAGTAGGATCTGCAGTAGTATTAAGAGCAGTTAGAAAAGAATGGCGAGTAGATGAAAAGCAAGAGTATGAAAGAAAAGATGATAGGGGATGAGCACTACCAGAGGACTGTGCAGCAGATAAAGATGTAGTGGGCCCGGGTGGAAGAGTTGGGCAGATGTAATCAAACAAGTAAGATGGATGAGTGGTGGTGCAAGTAGAACGACGAGAGGGAAAGGAAGCAGAGTAGGGCTATGATTCAAGGTGGAATGAGGTGGTGCAAGATCAAGGGTAGGGTTGGAGAGCTCAGGAATAGGGAAGGGGATGATAGGGTCATGACGATCGGGGGCCGAGGATAGATGGTGATAAGGAAAATCATTCTCATGAAAAGTGACATCACGAGAATAAAAAATAGAATGTGTGTCAAGGTTATAAAGCTTGTAGGCTTTGTGAAAGCTAGGGTACCCGAGGAAAAGGCATTTAGAGGCTCGGGGAGAGAATTTGTCTCGATGGCTGGTGAGAGTTTGAGCATAACAGAGGCAGTCGAAGACACGAAGGTGATCATAGGATGGTTTTTTATTAAAGAGGAGTTCGAAAGGTGTTTGTCGTTAAGGTTGCGACTAGGTGTGCGATTGATGAGATAAGCAGCTGTAAGGATACATTCCCCCCAAAATTTGAGAGGGAGGTTGGCTTGGAAGCGTAGGCTATGAGCAAAATTCAGAAGGTGTCAGTGTTTGCGTTCTGCAACACCATTTTGTTGTGGAGTTTCAACGCAAGTATGTTCATGAATAATACCGTAGTCGCGAAAGTAGTTTTGTAGGGAATGGAAGAGAAATTCTTGGCCATTGTCTGTGCGAATGTGTTTAATGGTAGTGTTAAACTGATTTTTTATGAGAGAAAAAAATGGAGGGGATTAGTACTTGTTTCTATTTAAATCGCATTAGATATATCTAGGTGGTGCGTGAAAAATCATCAACAATTGTAAGAAAATAATGTGCGCCACAGAGAGAAGCAGTCGGGTAGCCACCCCAAATATCACAGTAAATTCGATGAAAAATAAATTCACTTTTATTTATATTGTTTGGAAAAGGTAGTCGAGTATGCTTTGAACGACTACAAATATCACATTGAGAAATGATACATGGAGTGTCAATAATACTCGGTATTGTAAAGCAAGAAGGATGACCTATGCATTTATGCCATAATGTTTTATTAGCAGAAGTGGAAACAGTAAGGGCAAGGGGGTCAAGTGCCTGAAAAATATAGAGCCCATTCCACATCTCACTCGCTCCAATCAGCCTCTTTGACTGTGGGTCCTGAAAAACACAAGAATCAGAAGAAAAAAGAACTACACATGGTAAGTCTTGAGTAAGTCTTGGGTTGGAAAGCAGGTTATATTTAAAATTAGGAATATAAAGGACATTATGTAAAAATAGGGTAGGGGACAATTGAATAGAGCCACTCCCTTCGACTCTTGATGATTCACCATTTGAGAAAGATATAGAGTTAGCCAAAGAGTGAGGCTCGAGAGTTATGAAGGAAGATCGATAGTGGCACATGTGATTGCTAGCATCGCTGTCGATGATCCAATCGTGGGGGCTGGTGACAGTATGTGTGGTGGAAAAGGAGTTATCGACGAAATTGACATGGGTTGGGACTGGCTTGAGGATTTCTAGCAGTTTCTAGTATAACTCTGGTGGAAGAGTCTGAATGGAGGGTGAATCTGAGGTAGAAGCAACGGTGGTTTGTACTACAGTAGCTACCGGTGGGCGACCAAGAATGGATGATTGGCTATTCTTGGGTTCGTGCCCCGGAGGATATCCGATGATGAGCCAGCATCGCTCACGACGGTGCCCGTTCCTTCCACATTCTATGCATTTTAGGGGTGTGCGATTTTGGACGGGAGTGTGGGCAGCCATGGAAATAGTGTTGGGGGCCGATGATGCTGTGCGGAGGTGGAGAAGTCGCTGTTGTTCTTGCTGAAAGAGAGTTGAAAATACTTTTTGCATCGAAGGCAATGGATCAAGGGCAAGGATTTGTGTATGTAATGAGGAGTAGGAGTCATTCAATCCAAGAAGGAATTGAAAAAGTCGCTCATCTTCAACCTTTTTTTTCATTTCAGCAAGGTCCATAACATTCTGTAAGTCACCCAACTCATCCCATATCTGCTTAATTTGGTTGTAGTAATCATGGATGGGTTGGGTATTTTATGTGAGGTTGTATAAATCACGTTTTAGGTGATAGAGCCGGATGTTGTTGCCGTGGCTGAAATGAGAGTGAAGATCTGTCCATAGGTCCCTAGGATTTGTGTGATATTCAAGAGAATTTACAATAGAGGGGCTGATGGTATTGAGCAACCACATGAGGACCATGTCCTTGGTTTGGCTCCATTGAGAATAGGTGGGAGAATTGGCTGTAGGGTTTTGGAGAGTGCCATCCACAAAACAAAGTTTGTTTTTGGCATTGAGGGCACGACTTATAGCTCGCTGCCATTTAGGATAATTGTCTTCAATGAGTAGTCCGGAAACAAGAATGAGATTAGGAGAATTAGAGGGATGTAGGAGGTAAGGAGAGGAATTTGGGGCTGGAGGAGGTGTGTTGGTTTCAGCAACCATGAGGACACAGAAAGAAGAGGACCGATCAGGCTGATACCATGTTAAAGAAGAAAATGGATGATTCTGTTGTATGTTTCATTCATTCTTGAAGTCAATAAATAGGTACAATGAGGTTGCTATACAAAGAAAATTGGCTAAGATCTACGCTAACATTGTGCAATTTTTCTATAAAGGTTTGCAAGGAAAATTGACAAGCATTCATGTTGATTTTGTGCAAGACTATGATCCATGCTGATTTTGTGTAATATGCTGATTTTGTGCAAGTTGCAATCCATGTTGATTTGCAATTGGATGGAAATGTCAATAAAATCATTGCTTTCACTCCAAAAGAAAATTATGTAAAATGATCATCAAAATTGAATCGAAGCTGACCACTCTGTCCAGAAATCATGACGCTAATTGTCGTCTATTTTCTTACAGGAACAGAGAAAGAAGAAGATACCGTCTTCGAAGTGAACCCGATCGACTTCACCTGATGTGGACTAGTTGCTGGAGTGCACGTGAGGCAGTCAAGAAGCATTAGCATCCCAACTTGAGCATGAAGTATCTGATTTTATTGATGTGAAGGAAAATATTTTCAACAAAATCTACAAGTCGAGAAATATAAATCTTTTAGGACCATTAAGTGATTCAACATTGTATCAAAGTAAACAAATATTTTTGGTTCACGATAGAGCACAAAATTAGCACTCATTTATGGAAAGATATACTATATTCTTGACCATAATTTTCTTGCAATTCTCTCCTTATTTAGGTGATGTAGTTTCCTAGAATGGTAGAATTATATGGTCAGTCTGCTGTATATATTGATACTCACCAATAGTTAATAGATATTGCATTCTTTCACCAAAATTGTTTAGTTCAAGCCTTGCCACTTCTCATTCATGTAATGTTTTAATGATAAAGAATAAATCTCACATCTAAATAAAGGGACGTGTTGAACATAAGATTGAAACGCCATATGATATTACCTAACAACACTGTGATAAACGAATGGAAGGTTATACTAATTGTAGGGTAAAACTTAAAAATCCTTCTTGAATATAGACTATAGTCTTGATTATACTTCCATATATACCCCATCTCAACTCCTTTGGCGGTTGCTCCATCACCACTCTCCCAAAAAATCATGATGCTAATTGAAATATGTTTAGCTCACAAGAAAAGAGGACTTCACCCAATATCGAGAAGTTCAAATGCCATCAACTGTCATCTAAATCACTTATGACAACATTCGTATGTATGACGACTTCCTTAAAAAAAAAAAAATGTTAATACAAATTTTCGTCATTGTCAAGAGTGAACTTGGATAATGATAAACGCAACTGCTACACGACAACAATTGTTTTGCTGTTCATTCAATCACGTTCATTGCCCTTCTCATTAAAAAGTAAAAACAACAAACATTAAGCCATTGTGCTTTGCTACCTTAATCTTGTTAAGGGATGTGTTATCCAACATCGGTTTAATACCAAAACAAATACCAATTAATAAATATCTTGGACTTTTCCATTTAATAAGGTTGACGTTATTAAGATGGATCACAAGTCTTAACATGGTATCAGAGCCATCCTGTGAATTTCAAGATTGATCTGCTCAAATGAATCACCATCTTGACGGGACTTATTAAGGAATGTGTTATCTCACATCGGTTTAATACCAAAATAAATACCAATTTATAAATATCTTGGACTTTTCCATTTAATAAGGTTGACTTTATTAAGATGAATCACAAGTCTTAACAATTCTCTAGTATTTACGCAATATGCAAAAGTATGCCAATCAAGGATGAATCATGTTTTAGTGGACCTCTAATCCAATTTTTTTTCTACACCTTTTGCCAAAAAAAAAAAAATAAATAAATAAATCAGATACAGCAAATAAATCAGACATTGGAAAATTTCGATATGAGCTAAGTCATTTATGAATCTCTCGATTTATGTGGTCATGATTCCATATTTTCTGATTGAGGCTACGCTTGTGGATGTTGAAATTAAATTGTCGTTCCTCTTTTGCAGTTTAGATAAATCATCATCAACAACTTAAGCCTCATTTTTAATGAATTTAATATCAATTAAAAAAATCTTTCTTCGTCATTTTCTTCTAGCAACCTCTAGATATATTATGAGATCGAAAGAAATAAACAATTACAAT